GTTGCAGCGATGGAAGCGGTCAAGAGAAGTGGTTCAGATAGAAGTGATTGTACCCGACCTAAAAAGCCTCTGCATGTTTCTAATAAGCTCCACGAGCAGAAACGTGCTCAAACTAGGATCAATATTGGAGATGCTTTTGAAAAATGGAGAGAGGTTAGAACACAGAAAGGTTTACAGACCCATGCAGAGCTGGATAAACACTGAAGCTTCAGAGTCCACCACATGGTGACCTGAGTGAGCATCGAGTCTAGAGGGGGGGGGGGGGGGCAGCTCTCTATGATGTTTAGAATTTAGAGTGCAGTACCCATTTTAACCACTAGGGGTCAGAGTTACATACTGCTCCTTTATAAGAGTTAGCTTCCATCCTCAGGACTTCCAGCTGGAGGCCCAGGCGGTGTACGTGCGAGCCGGTCAGAGGCTCGTCCGTCAGAGGCAGTACGGAGCCGTGCGGCAGCTGCTTAAATGTGTCGGGGAATCTGGAACGGCGACGAAAAACGACTGCGACGCCCTCATCCTCAGCTGCGTCTCTGTGGCGGACAAAACACCCGCTGATGTGAGTTAAAGAAAACCTTTCTTTATCAAGACATAAGAATGAAGATGTAGACTTTACTAATGCTGACTCTGACTCTCCTCCACGGTGTCTCTTTAGGCGAAGGAGCTGGAGAGTCTGATTCTGGAGGCCAAGAGCACGGAGAGCAAGGTACTGTGAAGAGAGAAAACATGTCCTTCTTCTCTCCCTGCTTCTATTTTTAATTTTTCAACTCCAACATTTGGCTCCTTTCCAGCACTTCATTCCACACTCTTTCTCTCCCCTCCTGACTTCCTGCTCGATCCACCGTCCTGTCCTCAAAAATTAAAGCATAAAATAAATCTGAAACTTTATAAGAAATATAAATCAGCACGATAAAGAACTAACCAACTTCAACGACAGAAAACATGTTTGAGGAAAATCAATCCGACTTGTCGTTTGATTTTCTAGTTTAACCCATGTCCCGTGTCCTGTTAGCGTCTAGGAGGCGGAGCTTATGAGCCAGTCAGCAGGTGGCGCTCTCACTTTTGAAGCCTTACCTGTTTTTGAACTCATGTTTTGACTTCCTGTCCGCTCTTACTTTTATATTTAGGATCATGTTTTCTTCATTCTGCAGCACTTTGAGTTTTGTTTTGAATGTAAAATGTGTTAAAAATGAAATGTTTAATCCCTTTTAGGGAGCTCTCATGTGACCCATGATTTGATTCTGATTTGAACATCTTCAGTCAGATTAAAGATCTCCACCCTCAGTAAAGGGTTTCCTCCCTCTCCTCCTGCAGATCAAAGCCTACCTGCTGTGCAGCAAACTGCGACCTGCGTACCTGCTGGCGGTGAAGCTGGACGCGAGCCGGGCGAGCCCTCTGGTCCAGGACGTCCTGCAGGCGGCAGAGGGAGCGCAGGACTCTGTGATGCAGAACATCTGTCACCAGTGGCTCTCTGAACACCACAACAAGTCGCCTCAGCAGCGACAGGGCCGATCGAACGCCAGGTAACGGGTTACAGTCAGCCGGCTTAATGAGGGATCAGACGAGATGAGCTGGAGTGAGAGGATCAGGAGGAGCCGGGGGTTCTGATGCAACACGGCGAGGTGGTGATGTTTGAAACAGGAGAGGAGGAGCAGCTGCTGCACATAAACACACAGCTGCTGATTGTGTTTGTGTTTCAGTGGACACTTCTGGAAACCCTGATGGTCTCTCTCTCTTTGTGTTTGTGCGGCCTTCGTGTAAAACTGATGAATCACCGCCGTGCTTTATGTCCACTCTGTTATCTCTCATGTGTTCAGTGTGTGAGAGGGAACACTGTCAGCGACTGTCACCGACTGTCAGCGACTGTCACCGACTGTCAGCGACTGTCACCGACTGTCACCGACTGTCACCGACTGTCACCGACTGTCACCGACTGTCACACAACAAAACCCCCGAACTACAAAACCAAACAGAGCGGATCTCACAACACGATCAAATCTGTCTCTGGGATGAATCTCCTACCTCAGCCTAAAGGGAAATAATCTGCTACTGACTGAAAGTTCTCTGACAGATGTGGCTCATCTGGTTTGTGTGTGTGTGTGTGTGTGTGCGCGTGTGCGCGTGTGCGCGTGTGTGCGCGTGTGTGTGTTTCCTTCAGCGAAGAGGAACAAACATGACCAGCCAACAGGATTTCAAATATTGAAGTTGTGGTTAAGACATTTGTTCTGAATTTCGATTGGATACAGAAAGGGACCACTCAGTTTAAAGATCATGTTTCAGAGCGACTTCATTTACAATATAAACTCTCTCCTCTGTAGTTCTGTCTCTGGATCGCATCGTGTGTCTCCTGTTCATTCATCATCATTGCCCACAGGGTCTGATTCACTAAGAATGGATTTCTGCCACTGATATCTTCATAAATCCTTCATCATGTTCTCCCTCTCTCTGCTCCGTGTCAGAGTCTGACTCTCAAAGCAGAAAGCTCTGACGATGTTCAGGAAGTGTTACTGCTCGGTGCAGTTAGCTCTGGTTTACTGTGTGAATGTCTGCACGGAGCTGCACTCTCACACTGACTGAGCTGCACTCTCACACTGACTGAGCTGCACTCTCACACTGACTGAGCTGCACTCTCACACTGACTGAGCTGCTCTCTCACACTGACTGAGCTGCTCTCTCACACTGACTGAGCTGCACTCTCACACTGACTGAGCTGCTCTCTCACACTGACTGAGCTGCACTCTCACACTGACTGAGCTGCTCTCTCACACTGACTGAGCTGCTCTCTCACACTGACTGAGCTGCTCTCTCACACTGACTGAGCTGCTCTCTCACACTGACTGAGCTGCTCTCTTGTCAGTAATAGTGTTTAAAAAAAGGGAATGAACTTCTTTTTATTTGTCTTCTTTTGCCAACTTTTTCCTCAAACCGTTGTTACCATGAAACATGTTTAGTAGATCTTAATGACAATCTGATGTTGCTGCAGCTGCGTCTTCATGCAGACAGCAGCGTCTGTTTCAGAACATGTTACATCTTATTGTATGTTAGCACAACCGCTCTCTGAAGTTCTCTTCAGAGGAGACACTGTGCCGTCTGAAGAAAAGGACTGACGACCCTTCCTGATTTAAAGAAGTGTTGATTGGCAAAGATGGAAAAGAAGACGTTTGAGATGCACCTAAACGACATTGTTGCACTCTGATCCTCCTGAACCTGTTGTCTCATCACTGCCGCACTTTATACCTGTGAGTTTAAAAAATGTCAAATATGTGAAACAGTAACAGCTTTGTTCATGTGGAGATGAGCTGTGATGTCACCACTCTGTAAAATAATGAACTAATAAAAACTACACCCTCTGAGGGATCCACGTCTGTGTTTTCTTTGAGTTTGTTCAAGTGGAAAGGACTCAGAAATGTCTGTTTGATAAATAAGAAGCTTTAGCACACAGCCAGCTAACTTAGCTTAGCATGAAGACTGGAGAGCAGAAGGGGTTACCATGGTTACAGAGACAGACGGGAAACAGCATGTTTCTGTTTCCAGAGTCCTGTAGGGAGTGTTGGAGCACTCAAGATTGGTCTTGATCTTGACATCACTTTTTAAAGATCTCTGTCTCGTCTTCATATTGAAAGCATGTTTACTCGGCCTTGTCTCGGCCTCAGGATTTTAAATCAAGACCGCTTAAGAACCACCGCTGACAGGCTACTATTCCAAAAATAAACTTCAACCACAACCTTCCCGGTGAGTGACACGCCCCCAAAACACATGATGATTTTTCAGGGATATTTATGGTCTTGGTCGCGATCCCTTGGTGCACTCTGCTCTCGGTTAGTGTGGTCTTGACTCCAACACAACTCTATCTGAACCAAACAAATCCAGAGCATTCAGGAGCAGAATCTGAAGTTAGGAGGACATACTGGCTGCTGCATTGTTGTCAGAGAAGCTAGCACTTCAACATAGCATGTTTCCTTAATGATCAGAGAGTAAGATACCTTTATCATCTCTCTTTAAAGGAAACAAAGAAACACTGTTATAGTAATATCTGTTTATTTACATCAACTGTAAACATTCAACTCTTCACATGAATGTACGTGTAGTAAAAGGCATGTTGTATAAAACACCAATTGTAAACTCTTGGCAACCTTTCGTGTAAATGCTGAGAGTGAAACATGAGAGGAGATCCTTCCACGTGTGAAAACCTGCAGGACTCGATCCTAACCCGATATGCTTTAAAATAGAAAATCTTATCGTCTATCCTGACTAATTATCACAAAATACATTTATGCAATTGAAGCAGTAGTTATGGCTCAGGCGGACGCCGACCTTCCACAGTTGACTAATTCTGTCGTCACCATGGAAACGCTGTAAGAACCCCTGCACTCGTTTAGAAACGCTGGCACAAAAATTCAAACAATTTAGCTGCAAATCGTTGAGAAATAAAAAAACACCACATTTTGATAAAGCTGCTGGTCGTTTACCCTGACTCGACCCGTCACAGTCTCCTACAGCGTCAGGTGCTTCACGCCGCGTTCACCATAAGAGTCCAAAGGTCGTTTGTGTTCACACCATAAAGCTGTCGAGAGCGTTTGAGTTGTTCAGAAACACTCGCGCTGTTATGATGTCATTACTGCATTAATACACAAGAAAGCAACTTCACATTATAGAACCTCTCACAGGATCACCTGACGCCTGGTTTAGAAAAACGCTCAAAATACAGAACATGGAAAATGAACTGAATGAGAGAGAGAGAGAGAGAGAGAGAGAGAGAGGAGAAGAGAGAGAGAGAGAGAGAGAGGGAGAGAGAGAGAGAGAGAGAGAGAGAGAGAGAGAGAGAGAGAGAGAGAGAGAGAGAGAGAGAGAGAGAGAGCGAGAGAGAGAGAGGAGAAGGAAGAGAGAGAGAGAGAGAGAGAGAGCAACAGAGAGAGAGAGAGGGGGGATGAGAGAGCCAGAGAGAGAGGGGGATGAGAGAGAGAGAGAGGGGATGAGAGAGAGAGGAGAAGGGAGAGAGAGAGAGAGGGGGATGAGAGAGAGAGGGGGATGAGAGAGAGAGAGAGAGAGAGAGAGAGAGAGAGAGAGAGAGGGGCTCGTTGGAGAGCAGAGTGACGTGGAGGTGAAAAGTGGAATCAGTTCCACTCGATCCCCAGAAGTTCACAGCTGATGTCCCACAGTCTCCTCGCCGTCTCCTCACTCCTGCCCTGTGGGGCTACGAAGGCGGGGGCACAGTCGCTGTAATGAGAGGAGGAGGGGGGGGGGGGGGGGGGGGGGGGGGGGGGGTGATTATTACATAATGATGATGTGTCCCTTCCTGTTTTAATTTGACCTTCAGCAGCTCGGTGGTAATATCACCGTCATTAATGAGTTCTGTCGACACTTTGGGAACACGTGTCACAGACGTCGCTCAGCAGGATCGTTCAGACAGACTCTAAAGTGTTAATGTAAAACATCAGAGCGCTGTCTGTCTGTCTGTCTGTTTGTTTGTTTGTTTGTTTTACAGGTTTGTTCGTTTTTCATGACACGCCGACACGCCGACACAAACACTTGAAGGAATCTTGGTGTTCATGTGTTACTTTTAATGACAGCTGTCCTGTTCTAACAGAAAGGTTCCTTAAATGACTTCTTTCCCTGACTTCTGACTCTATCCACTATCCTATCCCTATAATAAAGGCACAAAAAGCCAAAAAATAAATCTTTAAAAATAAAAAATAAAAAAAATATATATCTATATATATATATATACATATATTTTATTTTTTTACTTGACCCCCCCAATATAATGGTAGGGGAAACACTGTTTCATATTTTCAGACATCTCCAAACTCTTGGTACCTTTAAGTCATTTGACAACACAACTTCAGAAGGTCTACACTTTTTTATATTCAGGTCAAATTATAGATTTTTTTTTCCTCAACTGTTTATAGGCTCTTGTTTAAATCTCACATATATTTTTAACTCTGCACGGGTTATGTACATTTCTTGTATAAGTCTATTTTTAACTGCACAGTTTAAGTTTGATTCATCGAGGGGGATTCTTTAAATCTTTTTTCAGGTTCATATATTGTAGCGCCTGCAGAGTCAGAATCCTCTTTGTACACACCTCCATTCATTGCTTGGTTTTGTGGTTAATGTGTAACAAATGTTTCATGTCATGTACGTCTTTGTAACCTGATACTGGATGCTTTCGATTTCCCTCTGGATCAATAAAGTATCTATCTAACTATCTATCTATCTTTGTACCCGCCTCTCGCCCAATCACAGCTGGGATTGGCTCCAGCCCCCTGCGGATTACCGGTTTAGATGAAAGACGGGGGTTTTCAATGCAGCGCTCGCTGGCTGTTGGGATCCTCCAGCAGGAAGCAACAGAATCAAGCTGATGCTGTTGCTCGCTGTTCAAACACCTTAGAAACGTTTACAGTGTCAGGAGTGTAAAATAAAAGCGACTCATCCTCTGAGTGATGTCAGCGGTTAGACTCTTATTGCTTTATATTACTTCCTGTTTCTGCATCATTGCACGATCAAATAACATTTTAAAAAGCGACAAACTGACCCCTTGTGAACTGCACTACTTAGGTTATGACTAAAATTGAACACGTCTAAACGTCTGGCAGTTATTCTGATGTTATGTTGTCGATGTTTTTTCTGTTGAAAAATAAAAAATAAAAATTTTAGTGGCAAAAAAAAAAAAAAAAGCGACAAACTGTCTGATGGTGAAAACATGTTGGAGCCGCTGAAGCAGATGAAGCGAGACGACCGTGACTCCCTCAGGCTTTGTGCAAAGTTTTAAAGCATGCAGCGTTTCCATGGTTACCCTCGAGCTTGTGGGATGTGTGTTTTTGTTTTTTTTTCACTAGAACACCGAGGCCTGAAACATCATTCTTTAATGAAGCCGTTCAGAGCGGGTCAGCCAACAGCTTCCACTTCCAACAAAAACCAGTTTGAAACCTCCGGAGCTCATTCACGTCCTAAAAATAACAACAAACCTCAACGCACGCACAGTTCCTGTCCCGCCGTCCCTACACTACCTGAAGTGTTTCCCAGAGATGGAGTGCAGCTCCTCCGCCACCGCACAGTAGATACTCGTCTGCGCTCCTTCTCGCGGCGTTTTCAGGAACGTGGAGAAGACGGTGAAGAATATCGTCATCAGGGTCGAATGTCTGGTGAGGTCGGAGTTCACCGTCCCCGGGTGGACCGAGTTCACCGTCACGTTGGTACCTGTGAGGACAAAACGCCTTCATGACTGTGTGCAGATTTTGAGAGTTTGAACTCCTGTTAACTTCTCCTGAGGAACATTTCAGATGGTTTTTTTTATTTTTATTAAAGGTCACATATCCTCCTCCTCTTCTTCAAAAACATCAAAAACTTCCTCAAAACATGTGTGAAGTTTCTTGTTCTAAATCCACTCTGATCCTGTATTTGATCATGTCTATAAACCCCTCTATTTCAGCCCTGCTCAGAACAGGCTGTTTCTGTGTCTGTACCTTTAAATATGTAAATGAGCTGTGTCTGACCACGCCCCCTCTCTGGAAGGTCTTGGGTGTACTCTGTCTTTCTCGCTCCATGTCCTATTGTTTACGGTGAGAAGGCAGACTCAGAGGGCAGAACAAACACCTAGCTGTGGGAGTGTCACCCACCTGGGGGAGGGGCTACTGCCCTTTGTGATGTCATGAAGGGAAAATCTCCAAACGGCCTGTTTGAGCACACCTTTTCTGAGAAGTGGAGCAGGCAGAAGACGGAGAGGATGGACTTTTCTCATCATTGGGGGGTTTAGACACATGTTAGTGTCAGATCGGTGAAGAGGATTTTATAGAATATATGACCTTTGAACTGTTGATTTACTTATTTTAATTCTAGAGTAAAAGACGGTAGAGGATGCAGAGTGCATGTTTATTTTAAATATTCATTACGTCGAGCCGTGGTTACCGTACCTTTGAGTCTCCGGGCCAGCTCTCTGGTGAAGAGCACGTTGGCCAGTTTGCTCTGGCAGTACGCCAAGCCGCTGTTGTAGCTCCCCTGGCTGTGCAGGTCGTGGAATCGGATCCAGCCGAAGTTGTGAGCCAGAGAGGAGACCACGACGATCCGGGCATGCACACTGCGCTTCAGCTGCCCAATGAGGAGGGACGTCAACAGGAAGTGACCTGCAGGAGTAAGAAAACACACACACACACACACACACACACACACACACACACACACACACACACACACACACACACACACACACACACACACACACACACACACACACACACACACACACACACACACACACACACACACACACACACAGCTGACGTCACAGGATCATTTCTGGACGATTCGTTTTTTAAGACTGGGCGACACATTTGAACGACTACGAGCTCGACGGGGATTCAAACCAGGAACCTCCTCACAGAGAGACTCCTGAAGGACGGGGATTCAAACCAGGAACCTCCTCACAGAGAGGCTCCTGAGACGGGGATTCAAACCAGGAACCTCCTCACAGAGAGACTCCTGAAGACGGGGATTCAAACCAGGAACCTCCTCACAGAGAGACTCCTGAAGGACGGGGATTCAAACCAGGAACCTCTCACAGAGAGACTCCTGAAGGACGGGGATTCAAACCAGGAACCTCCACACAGAGAGACTCCTGAAGGACGGGGATTCAAACCAGGAACCTCCTCACAGAGAGACTCCTGAAGGACGGGATTCAAACCAGGAACCTCCTCACAGAGAGACTCCTGAAGGACGGGGATTCAAACCAGGAACCTCACACAGAGAGACTCCTGAAGGACGGGGATTCAAACCAGGAACCTCCTCACAGAGAGACTCCTGAAGGACGGGGATTCAAACCAGGAACCTCCTCACAGAGATACTCCTGAAGGACGGGGATTCAAACCAGGAACCTCCTCACAGAGAGACTCCTGAAGGACGGATTCAAACCAGGAACCTCCTCACAGAGAGACTCCTGAAGACGGGGATTCAAACCAGGAACCTCCTCACAGAGATACTCCTGAAGGACGGGGATTCAAACCAGGAACCTCCTCACAGAGAGACTCCTGACAGACGGGGATTCAAACCAGGAACCTCCACAGAGAGACTCCTGTCAGACGGGGATTCAAACCAGGAACCTCCTCACAGAGAGACTCCTGAAGGACGGGGATTCAAACCAGGAACCTCCTCACTGTGAGGGGACAGAGTTAACCGCTGTTCTGTCTCTTACCTAAGTGGTTGACTCCGATGTGCATCAAAGCCGTCGATAGTTTTCATGTAAGGACACATCATCACGCGGCGTTATTGATGAGGATATGAAGTTCGTTGACCTCTGAAGAAGAAGAAAACAGAAAGAGGGTCATGTCACTTTGGTACTTTTTAAAAAAAGTCAAAAAGCAGCAGCTCGGCGCTCACCTCTCAGGAACTTCTGTGCGAAGGCTCGTATGGAGCAGGTGTCTGCCAGGTCCAGCTCCCGGACCTCCACGTCGGCTC